CTGTTTGACAGAGAATTTTACCACATGCCAAACACAAGGTTTTGGGAAAGTTCCTCATATTCCTATGTGGCATATCTCTGCTCCTGGGCATGGGGTAAGTAAGCATTTGGTGACCTCTCTGCTTATGTTACCTGGTACCCTGAAGCTCTGGCAGAATTACTATGAGACCGTTCACCTTGGCTCAGCCTGAAATCTACTCTGACAGATTTATTGGCTCTTAAACATTTATCCAAGCAGAATGTCTAAACCAATAGAAGGTTTCACTCTTTTGCACTGCAGGGAGAGAAAGAGAGATGAAAACTGTGAGGGGTGAAACTCCACAGAGATGTAACTCCACCCCAACCCCATCCTTGCGTATTTACCAAGAAATGGAATTTATCATTTCTTTCCTGTTTTAGGTCTCTTTTCTATCAGAGTTTTTCTCAGTCTATTGGTGAAAAGCACATTGAGGAAAGGATATTAACAAGACCAATCAATAACTGCTTATTCCTTTATAGCATATTTGTTTTGTAAGGGAAAATATTGAATAAGATATGTAAGAAAATTGCAGTCTTCTCTAGATTTTCTAAGAATTGGGATGGAGAAAATGGTTTGAATTTAAATAAAATTGAATTTAGAGCAATAAGGAAAACCATGTAATGAAAACCAGATACTAATATTATCTATATTTTATTGATGAGAAAAATATAGCTTAGAGAGCTTAAATGACTGGGCACAGTTTACTCAGACGGTAAGTGTTAAAGTTACAGCCCAGTCTCAGGTTTCAGTTCCAAAGGTCATGTATTTCTGTTGAACGAGTCAGTAGTCTACAAACCTGACTGACACAGCTTTCTAGCTCTACCTGCTGAGCACACTGACATGCTTCTATGTGCTGAGACACATAGAACTGCTGGATAAAACAAAACTATTTTGCATACAAAGCCGATAGAGAGACAGGTATACAGAAAGAAGAAAAGAGAGGAAATGTCCATGTTCCACAGGTAAGGAAGAACCTTATAGCCAGCATGGTAAATGCATGAGCTGATGCCAGAACAGTGAAGAGGGTATCAGACATGGCCGTAGGACCCAAGAGCTATGAGTTGGGCTTTAACACACATATAGAATAAATGACATAACCTTGGGCCTGTGAAAGGTAAGGACTTAGAACTGAAGACCTGCTTGCCTCACACAAGGGGACTACAAAACAGATTGTTCATGTACTAGAAAGCAACTGGTAAAATTCTCACTGATTAGATATCTGGATGAGAAAAAGTTTCTCACAATAAATAGAATTTTAAAAACCTGTGCTGGCTGGGAATGGTGGCTCATGCCTATAATCTCAGAGCTTTGAGAGGCCAAGATAGGAGAATCACTTGAGGCCAGGAATTTGAGACCAGCCTGGGCAGCGTAGCAAGATCTCATCTTTACAAAAATCTCAGAGTTTAGGATGAGTTCATGTCCTTTGCAGGGACATGGATGAAGCTGGAGACTATCATTCTCAGCAAACTAACATAAGAACAAAAAACCAAACACTACATGTTCTCACTCATAAGTGGGAGTTGAATAATGAGAACATGTGGACACAGGCAGGGGAACATCACACACCAGGGCCTGTCAGGTGGCGGCGGGCTAGGGGAGGGATAGCATTAAAGAAATACCTAATGTAGATGATGGATTGATGGGTGCAGCAAACCACCATGGCTCATGTATACCTATGTAACCTGCACGTTTTGCACATGTACCCCAGAACTTAAAGTCTAAAAAAACTCAGAGCTCTGTGAGGCCAAAGTGGGAGGATAGCTTGAAGCAAGGAATTCAAGACCAGCCTGGGGGACAGAGCAAGACTCTGTCTTTACAAAATATAAAAATTAAAAAAATAATTGGTCATGGTGGTGCACCTATAGTCTTAGCGACTTGGGAGGCTGAGGCAGGAGGATTGCTTGAACTCAGGAGTTCAAGGCTATAGTCTTCTACGACTGAGCCACTGTACTCCAGCCTGGGTGATAGAGCAAGACTCTGTTTCTGAAAACAAATCTGTGCTGTGCATAGGTATAGAATCCAAATTTTATGCTATTTGCATAGTATAGGAATCTCAAATGGATATATTAATGAAAATGTCATAAATACTTCAGGCTAGTGAAACTCATGGAGTTTCCAGAGGAATCAAATGTAAAACTTGTCTAAAATATTACTACCACATCTTAAGGTACACAGGAATGCCACAGGGAAGAAATATTCTAGCTGAAGATATATTCACAATGAAAAAGTACAAACCAAATAAAGAGTCCAAATATGGGAGAGTCAGCAGACACATATGAGAGAAATAGCACCCTAAGAACATGAGATAATGTAACAATCTAAAACTGTCTAGAAATAGGTATATTTACACTCTTAAAGAGATAGAGAGGAATAAAAACTCTCATGAAAACCCAGGACATTAAAAAAGAACAGTAACATCTGGAAAACAACCAAATAGAACAATTCAAGATAAAAAAAAATCATGAATAAAATTAAACATAGTGACCAACTTTAAGAGCATATTGGGCACGACTGAAGAGAGAGTTAGTGATGTGAAAGCTGTATCTGAGGAAATTACCCAAAGTGCTGCAGAGAAAGATAAAGAGGGCTACAATCCGAAAGAGAAATTAAAAGATATGGAAGATTAAAGTTACAACTTAGGTCTAATGGAAATTTCAAAAGGAGAAAATGGAGAAGGGGCAATATTTTAGTGAAAATGGCTGTGAATTTTCTAGAACTTATAAAAGGCAGAAGCAGATGGAATTTTCCAGAACTTATAAAAGGCAGAAGCAGATTCTCAGATTGAAGAAGCACACTGAGTCCTGTGCATAACATAAAATCTACAGCTAGATGCATCATTTGAAGTGCAGAACACTGAAGACAAGGGAATTCTAGTGGAAGAGCAAGTGGAGAGAAAAGACAGTATATGAAGGGACAATTATTAGAATAACAGGGGACATCAGCCTAACAGCAACCAGAAGACAAGTCTGACCAGTTATCAGGAACACCTGAAAAGCACATTAAAATACAATATTATGGTTCTACTCCATACTCCAAGGTAGGTTCAGAAATACGCATATTAAAAAAGCTTCTTGGATCATCAAGTATGTTTAAAAACTCTTTTATTCCTTACCACCATATACATAAGCAGACATATATGTACATATACTCACACACACTGATCTCAAGGCTTTAATTTACTTTACAGCCTCCCCCACTGAAAAAACGAAGGAATTGAAATCCTCACCAAGGATAATTTTTAAAGCGTATTTTTCCCCAATAATTTCTAGAGGAGCTATGCTATATGGTGCCAGAAGTTTATCCAAAAAGAACAAGGAAAAGGCATACAAACATCTTTGACCTCACAGTTCCATTTCTGCCTCCATCTTCACTAACATATGCATGATTTGGATTGAAGGACATGTTGTTCTAGCTAATAATTCCAGAATCCTATGTGTTTGTGTGACAAGATGAATGAATGATCCCATGTGGAACCTTTGGCAAGATATGCTTCCTATCTTACTTGATATTTCATATCAAATACAAAAGGACACCTTGACCTGCCAGTACCAGAATTTAGTCTACTTTGTCTTTATAGACATCTGTTCTCAGATTAACAGTGGTTTATATAATTGCTATAATAAAGGATAATTTTTTTTTTTTTTTTTTGAGACGGAGTTTCGCTCTTGTTACCCAGGCTGGAGGGCAATGGCGCGATTTCGGCTCACCGCAACCTCCGCCTCCTGGGTTCAGGCAATTCTCCTGCCTCAACCTCCTCAGTAGCTGGGATTACAGGCACGCGCCACCATGCCCAGCTAATGTTTTTGTATTTTTAGTAGAGACGGGGTTTCACCATGTTGACCAGGATGGTCTCGATCTCTTGACCTCGTGATCCACCCGTCTCGGCCTCCCAAAGTGCTGGGATTACAGGCTTGAGCCACCGTGCCCGGCCTAATAAAGGATAATTTTATATTAAAGTAATACTGGCTATAATTAGAACATTTATAATAGTCATGCTTTTTGAACTAGTAGCAATACCTCCAGGAATTTATCTTAAATATCCCAAACATATACATACAAAAACCCTTCATCCCTAAAGATGTTCATTCCAGTGTTAAATATGATAGGTAAAACTCTGGAAGTCTCTAGAAAAGTTGGAAGGCAATAAGATCTTGTTATACTGTTCCAAACACAGATAATAATGTATTTTTTCTTGGCTTGAACTCCTCACACATATACTTTGCTTTTTTCCCTTTTAATAGAGAATGCTTAGATAAATAATGGTACATCCACATGACAGAACTATGCCAGTATAAAAATTATGCTTTTAACAGGCCGTTCAAAAAAAGAAGAAATAAAAATGTGCCATATACACATAAAGAAATACCTAGCCTCATTAGTAATGAGGGACATAATTTCTTATTTATATCAGAATACATAAATAAGAATACCACATAGTTTTTCTTTAATGATTAATACTAGCCAGTGTTGGTGAAGTCGTAGAGAAATGGGTATCACTTTGCTGCTGGTAGTGTAAGTTGGTATATACTTTCAAGATAAAAACTTAGTAGTATGTAGCCAAAGCCTGAAAAATTCATGTAAATTATTTTTTGCTTAGCAATTCCATGGGGTGGGTGTGTATGTGTGTGTGTTTATATATTTTTTTAATTAGGACAAGTATAGCACTTCTTATGTTATGAAAAATTGGAATATCTTAAGTGCCCAAAAGTAGAAATTATTTAAATAAAAGTGATGCTATACAATAAGATACAGTTAGAAAAGATATTCATAATACATAGGTAATAATAAAAAATTACAAAATTCCATATAAAAAACAATAATTTTGTTAAATTATAGATAAGAACACATAAAATGTCAAGAAAAAATGTAGTAAGAATTGTTAATAATTATCTCTGAGTAGTAGAGACGATGGTGGTTTTTATTTTCTTTGCTTTTTGCATAGCATTTTCTTTTACATTTTGCAATTAAAATTTTGATATTTTAATAAAAATAAAATATAAACTTAGGTAATAAAAGTTTTTTTAATAAGATGAGATAATGCCAATTATGCCAAAAGATAAAGATTGCTTTACAATTACAACTAGGTAGGAATGTGTACATTAAAATAAAGAAAGAAAAAAAAGGAAGGAAGAAAGAAACGGAATGAAGGATGAAAAGCAGGCAGGCTGGAAAACATCTCTTCTAACCAGTTTTCTTTGGCCAGTAGAATTTGGGGCAAATATTTTCAACTCTCATGAACTTTTATACTTTCTAATATATTATTAATTTTATACTTAGAAAAACAAGAAAGAATTTTATTTTTTAAATGTAAAATTGAACTTAACGAAGTAATCAGCATCTTTCTGCCATATTTTATTTTATTCACTTCTCTGCTATATCAAGTCTCCATTTTTAGGCCTAACATCAAGTTTCTGGGCTCAACCAAGCCACCACTTTAGGGAAATTTACATAAAATTTCTCTACTGAATTTATTATTTCAATCAGTGACAACAAGACTTTCTAGAATCCTCCTGTGACTCTAGCAGGGAGCTGAGCAGGATTAGACCTTGCTCATCTCCACTCAGCATTCCATCTCTGTCTCCAGAGGGGATGGAAAGCTGCTATGAGATCTTGGCACCACTTGCAGACTCTTGTTGTAGTGAATTTGCTTTTTGGCTTGAACTCCCCTCACATATGCTTTCCCTTTCCGCTTTCAAGCAGAGGGCTCCTTGCCTGCACCAGTCTGGATGTCAGCAGGTGGCCTGCTGGCCTCAAAAGCTTTCTGCATGAATTACTGTGTGTGGTTTCTGCACATTGAAACTTGGCACCCACACATACACATACCTCCCTTGCTCCTTTCCCCTCTCCCTGCCCCACTCTGTATCCATAGAAGCCATCCAGATTTTTGGCTTGAATATTGGGCCAAAGCAAGACTTTCCTCAAAGAATCACCTAGTTTCTGTTTGTTAAGATACCGTACCTCATTCCCCTTTCCAGACAAACCATGCGTTCCCATCACTTTCCAGCTTGTAGGCTCTCCTTCTCCATTACAAACTCCATATAACCACCAGAAAAAGTGGATCTGGTCACTCAATGTCTCTAGAATCTTCTGTAGCTCCCCTTACATTCAGAATTATGTATGTATTTCTTAGGTGGTGAACAAGGTCCTTCATGATAGGATCCCAACTTATCTACTCAGCCCTCATCTTTACCACATATTTCCCACTTTTTTTCTGTGGCATAACATGAGGTTTCTGGACTTTACCTGCTTTCTCACCCATCTCTGCTTTTCCATATGCTGTTCCTTTTGCCTTTGCACTTTTTCCCCTGGCCAATGCCTCCTTATCCTTCAAAAGTTCATTTGAGTGTCATTTCCACTGGAAAGCCTATCCTGACTCCACCACCTTCCCCTGTACCCCAATCCAACTTAAGATACTCTTGTGCATTACTCCTACAAATGAGGAATAGTATTTGCCAGTAATCTCCGTCCTTCACTGGATTCCAATGTCCTTGCAGGCAGAGTCAGGGCCTTTTTGTGGTTTTATTCTAGCACCTAGCCTAGGTTTCAGTAAATAGCAAGCACTCAAAAATGTATCCAGCAATTCTGCTCATGGGTATAATCCCAATATTTGCAAGACATGTTCAAGAATGCTTACAAAAGCATTACTTGAATTAATCCCAAACAGAACATAATCTAAATGTCTAATGTAGAATGGATAGTAAATCATGTCACTTTAAATAAATCCTATACAACAATGAGACTGAATGAATTACAACTACATGCAACAACATGAATGAATCTCACAAACATAATGTTGAGTGAAAGAAGCCAGACATAAAAGAGTCAGTGATGTACAATTCCATTCATACAAGCTCAAAAGCAGGCAAAAGTTGCATTCATGGTATTAGAAATCATGACAGTAGTTACCTTGAAGATATAGAGTAACTGATGGGGGCAACTGGGAGCCCAGTAATGTTCTGTTTCTTGATCTGGGTGCTGAATACATGGACATTGTTACACTGTAAAAATTCATCAAGTTGTATATTTATGATTTATGCATATGTCTGTATTTTATACTTTCATAAAAATTTTAATTGAGAAAAGTTCCCTTTGTGAAACATATTTCTCTGTGGCGTTTAGGATAGTGATGTAAATGGAGAGTGTAAGTTTGACTCAAGTCCATTGCCAGCTTGGCTGATGCTCTTTTCCCCACTCAGAATGGTGCTGCATGGTACAAGAGAAAAGTAAGAGAAAATCCATTTTCCTAGACAAAGTTTAGCATTTGCTTTAAGGAATGTGATGGTCATGGCAGGGATGGAGTCAGCAAACCATCATGGCATGTAGGTACCTATACAACAATCCTGCAGGATGCAGGATGTGCACATGTACCCCAGAGCCCAAAGTACAATAGGAAAAAATTAAAAGGAAAAGAAAAGAAAGAAATGAGATGGTCAATTGTGTCAGCAGGTGTTCTTTGCATAGTTTGACTTCTCAGCTTGAATTTCAGAAAGTGCAAATGATTTTGGAATAAGTCAGAGTATAAACAAACAAATTAGAATTGGAATTTTCTTCTTTTCTTGTTATCTCCATCCATCAGCTCTTAAGGCTTCTGTCTTCAATGGGAATAGGCTTATTGGCTTGCACACATCAATCAAATTTGTCACAGACCTCATTGATTCACATTTCACCACTGCAGTTTAAAATTGGTTTTCCTCTTCTTGCTACAAGAATTGTCCTTAATTATCAAAATTAATGACTTTGAGCTGGTGAAGTTTTTTTTGCTTCAAATTTTAAGAAGCCTATAAATATCAGACTATGGGATATTAAAAAAATACATTTTCCCTCTTTAAACAAACAGATAAATGTGGAGAAGGAGCCTGGAACTCTTGTCTCTGAGATGGCGTCAGTCATCTTGGCGGCTGCCTTCTGCAGCCTGCGCACTGGAGCCAGTCCAGCCATAGCTGCCATAACTCGCCGGATTTCTCTCTCACATTCCGTAATAAAGGACTTTCAATGTCTGCACAGATGGGAATTCTGCTGCCACCTTCTCATTTCACATTTCCTGCACTTTCTTTCCAAAGCACTCGCCTGCCTGAAATAGAATCATAGTTTTTTTCAGTCTACGTGTAGGAATTTAGTGGGAGAATGGACAGGGTATCTGTAGCTCCCTATAATTACCACACCATGAAGTAATGATTTCCTGTTGACTATAAGGCACTTAAAGGAGGCAGAAATGTGATCAGAGGTTTTACAGAGAACTGCACACGATTTTCTTTCTGGAGATGGCTGGAAAGGGCCCATGAAGAGGCAGGATGTCAGTGTTGACCCCGTGAGCCTTTAGGAAAGAGGAGGCAGCAGTCTTTTCCTGGCCTGCCACCTACTAGACCCCTCATGAATCCCCTGCCGTCATGAGGTCTCTTCCCAAAGGGATATCCCCTCATCCTCTGCCTTTTTAAACTGGATTCCCACAAGGATCAATGTCCGTGTTTCTCTCTGCCTAGTTGAATTTTCCCTATCCTTCAAGACTGTCTCAGATCATACCTCTTCTGGGAAACCTTCCTGAATAGCTTGAGCTGGAAGTAATTTCCCCTATGTCTGAACACAGAGCCCCTAATGATTGCACATTCTTGTGTTGCCCACACACAAAGATAATATGCAGTAATAAAAGCTAATGAAACAAATGACATTAACTGAGCACTTACGTGCCAGGCACTATCTTTTCACTTTACATGTATGAAGCCAGAATTCTTACAGTGACTTTATGGGGTAGGTTATATTATTATTCCCATTTTACAGATGAGGATCCTGAGACATATCGTGATATGATACCTAATCAGATCAGAAGCTCCACTTACCATCTCTTTGACTTATTGATTTGTCTCTTTCACCGCACAAAGCTCAGGGCCTTGCAATCAGTAATTGCTTGGCTAATATTTGTCTATTAATGTGCTCAATGGAACTTGAGACCATGAAAGTAGAATTTGAAAAACATTTCTGATGGTCAGATATGCTACTTTTCATCTTCTGTCAACAGGGAAAGACTGTGAAATGAAATGGCTGGGGTTGATAAAAATCACCATAACAAAAACAAATCCTTAGTTAATATGCACTGTATGCCAGATGCTGTGGTAAGTGATGTGTGTTCATTACATTTCTTAATCTCAGGTTTTCCCCCACTAAAGGATCAGAGAGAGATTGAAAAATGCTTGCAATGAGATCAAATAAAGATGAAGGCAAAGGGAATACAAATGTTTTAAGTTAGAAAAATCCTAAGTTTAGTTATTACCCCAAAATGAATGTTCTAAGGATCCTCCTTTGGTAGTGAGACACAAGTTTGACTCTAAGTTTTCTAGTGTTTATGGCAAAAGCAGACGCACAATCAATTATAGTACCTACACACTAAGATAAAGACAAACCAGCTATTTGAAGGTAGCACTCATAAATGTTTAATCAAACCATTTCTTCTTACAATTCTCAACATAGACCATTCTCATCTTGCAGAAGAGCAGAATGGTAAAATCCATTCTAGGAGGAGGCAGATTATTGGGCTTCAGTATGCAGTTGAGTTCGGCTTAATGTACGATATCTAAGAGCTGGATGGACTGTACATGTTTCAGAAAAATTCTCTATGAATATTATTTCTCATAACCACTGTGTCATACTATCTGTGCCAGACAATTATCCTTCCCCTTTCAACTAAAAGCTGCATAGGTATTTTGGTATAACTCTTATTAACACCTTTAGAATTAGCATGCCAGGAATAATGTTTGGAAAACCTAGTCCTGTAGGCAATATGGAACTTTAAAAACTGACTTTTCCGTGGGGTAAATGAAATCCAAACTCCCTTGTATTATTTATGGTACTTTCCACAACCTGATCTCAACCTGCTTTCTAGACTGAATTTATTGTCCTCCTGTTAGCACCTTCGTGCTTCCTTCAAACCAGTCTCATGAAAACACTCAGTGCTTTTACTCATTGAAACCTCATAGACACTTCCTAGAAACCTCTCTTCTCTTTCCCTTCTCCCCTGTTTCTCCACCTAGTGGGTCTTGAAGGATGTCGCCTTTCCTGCAAACCCCGATTCCATCTAACAATTAATTTTACCCTTTACTAGAGTCCTACGGCATCTTGCTAATATCACATTTTATTATCCTCCTTTGTTAGCATCTCTGATTTTTCTGCCAAACTGTGAGCTCCTCCAGGGTAGAATGTGTTTTATTTACCTTTGTATCTCAGCACTGGGCACATAGTCTGACCTGGACTCATTTCACCAAGTATTTATTGTTTCCTGCACTGACAAAGCGAGCTGGGACAATTCTTATTCTAAGATGCTGCATTAAAAACAAATGTTACTCCACAGGTGACCCACGTATGTTTCTATTATTCTCTGAAGCCGTTTGGTGCTATGCAGATTGATTAATCCATATTATTTGGTATAAAAAGGATAATGTAGTAAATGAGTTGAACTACACATGGAATGCACTAAACTCTTTTTTTCTCAGTATTTTCCAGATTTGAAAAGCTCCAAAGGAAGCTATACCTGTATGTTGCCATTTATTTCAAGTTTTTTCTCTTTTTGTGTAACATCTGTCATGCCAAAGAATTTTGCTTGTGTTTGGTATGCGGATGAATCACTTCAGCCACCAATAAAATGTACAGCCCTTACAAGTAAAACAGAGCAACTATCCCAGAAGACCTTGACAATATTACAGCAGAGCTAAGAGGTGGGTCAGAAAGAAAAAAAATGACTTCTTTCTAATGGCCTGACATGAATAGGACATTTAAGAACTAAATTACCAAATTTTACTGTCGTTGAAAGGACCTATTTGGGTGAAGGTCACAGTAAGTATTGTGCAAATCTAATCTTATTTCTGGACTTCAAAATCTTTTAATCATTCATCCATTACAAAAAGTAATATTATAGACATTCAGAGCCACATAAGCACTGCACAAATATGAAATTTTTCATAAATAGAGTTTCAAAAATGTGTTGAGCAATGGAAATATTTTGGGTATAGAAATTGGAAATAGTATTTGAAGAGTTACTTTGCATCAATTTGCTTATGGTTAATATTAACCAGTTGAACAAAGTTAATGCCATGATGGGAGGGGAACAAATCTTGGGGAAGGAATATTCTCATCTTGCAAAGTGTCTGCCTCAAGAGATGCCTCCATAATGTTTTTAGACAAAAAATAGTGAACTAACTCTACAGGCCCAGAGGGTTCAAGGATTCTGAGGACTCAAGGTTCTCAAATTCCTTCATCAAGATGTTCTTATCCTATGTCCCAGGATCCCATGTTCTTTCCCTATCAAGGCTCAGACTTCAGAATATGAGGTTTAGTAGAACTTCAAATTGCCTTCTCTGCAATTTGACTTCTCAGTTAGGTCCTGGGACTGATTTTTAAGCCAGTAGGCCTTAAGATCACATTATCTGACTTCAAATTATGGTACAGAGCTATAGGAATGAAAACATCATATTAGCTTAATAACAGACACACATACCAATGGAATAGAATAGACAACCCATAAACAAATTCATGAATGTACAGTCAACTTATTTTTGACAAAGGTGCAAAAACATACATTGGGGAAAAGATAGTCTCTTCAATAAATGGTGCTGGGAAACTGGATATCCATATACAGCAGAATGAAACTAGACTCCTATCTCTTGACATATACAAACATCGAAACAAAATGGATTAAAGACTTAAAGCTAAGGCCTCAAACTATGAACTTACTAAAAGAAAATATTTGGGAAACTCTCCAAGACACTGGGTCAAAGACTTCTTGAGTAATATGCCACAAGCACAGGCAACCAAAGCCAAAAAAAAAAAAAATGGACAAATAGGAACACATCAAGGTAAAAAGCTTCCTCACAGCAAAGGAAACAACAGAGTGAAGAGAAAACCCACAACAAATTGAAACTACAGTGAGACATCTCTGCAGTTAAAATGACTTTTATCCAAAAGTCAGGCAATAATAAATGCTGGTGAGGATATGAAGAAAAGGGAATCCTCATGCACTGTTGGTGGGAACGTAAATTAATACAATCACTATGGGGAACAGTATGGAGGTTCCTTAAAAAACTAAAAAAAGAGCTACCATATGATCCAGGAATCCCACTGCAAGGTATGTACCAAAAAGAAAAGAAATCAGTATATTGAAGAAATACCTGCACTATCATGTTTATTGCAGCATTATTCACAATAGCCAAGATTTGGGAGCAACTTAAGTGTCCATCCACAGATGAATGGATAAAGAAAATGTGGTACGTATACTGAAGAGATGCAGTCATTTACAACAACATGGATGGAACTGGAGGTCATTATGTTAAGTGAAATAAGCCAGGCACAGAAAGACAAACTTTGCATATTCTCACTTATTTGTGGGAGGTAAAAATTAAAACTATACTCTTGAAGACAGAGAATAGAAAGACGGTTATCAGAGGGTGGGAAGGGTAGTGAGGGGAAGTAGAGATGGTTAATGGGTACAAAAATTAGAATGAATAAAAACTAGTATTTGATAGCACAATATGACTATAGTCAATAATAATTTAATCATACATTTCAAAATAACTGAAAGAGTATAATTATATTGTTTGCAGCACAAAGGATAAATGCTTGATGTGATGGATACCTTATTTACCCTGATGTGATTATTATGTATTGCATTGCCTCTATCAAAATATCTCATGTGTACCTTAAACATATACACCTACTATATACCTATAAAAATTAAAACACAATGAAACAAAATGAAAAAATTGGCTGGTTCCTCATTCTTCAGCTCTCACCTTAAATGTGACTTCACTTAAGTTCTAGGGAGTTCCTCCTTCATTGTTCTATCTGCAGTAGATCACCTCATAAACTTCATCATCCCTGCACACTCTTTCCTTTGTAACAGGTATAACAATCTTTAATCATTGCATGTGTGTGTATAAAATTTTTTGTCTGTACTTACAGCTAGAATAATACCTATTAAAATGTAGTGCTAGTTCAGGGCTTGGCACAAAATAGACTCTTTTTTCTTTCATGCTATTTTTTATTTATTTATTTATATTTATTTATTGCATTTTAGGTTCTGGGGTACGTGTAAAGAACATGCAGGACTGTTGCATAGGTACATACATGGCAATGTAATTTGCTGCCTCCATCCACATCACCTATATCTGGCATTTATCCCCATGTTATCCCTCCCCAACTCCCTACCCTCCACTGTCCCTCCCCTAGTCCCACCACCCACAGACCTCAGTGTGTGATGCTCCCCTCCCTGTGTCCATGTGTGCTCATTGTTCAACACCTGCCTATGAGTAGAACATGCAGTGTTTAATTTTCTGTTCTTGTGTCAGTTTGCTGAGAATAATGGCTTCCAGGTTCATCCACATCCCTACAAAGGACAGAAACTCATCATTTTTTATGGCTGCATAATATTCCATGGTGTGTATGTGCCACATTTTCCTTGTCCAGTCTATCATCGATGGGCATTTGGGTTAGTTCCAAATCTTTGTTATTGTAAACAGTGCTGCAGTGAACATACGTGTACATGCGTCCTTATAATAGAAAGATTTATAATCTTTTGGGTATGTACCCAGTAATGGGACTGCTGGGTCAAATGGAATTTCTATTTCTAGGTCCTTGAGGAAGTGCCACACTGTCTTCCACAATGGTTGAACTAATTTACACTCCCATCCATAGTGTAAAAGTGTTCCTAATTCTCCACATCCTCTCCTGCTTCTGTTGTCTCCAGATTTTTTAATGATTGCCATTCTAACTGGCATGAGATGTAGTTTTGATTTGCATTTCTCTAATGACCAGTAATGATGAGCATTTTTTCATATGTTTGTTGGCCTCATATATGCCTTCCTTTGAAAAGTGTCTGTTCATATCCTTTGCCCACTTTTAATGCCTTTGTTTGTTTGTTTCCTGTAAATCTGTTTTAGTTCTTTGTAGATTTTGGATATAAGTCCTTTGTCAGATGGATAGATTGCAAAATTTTTTTCTCATTCTGTTGGTTGCCGGTTCACTCTAATGATTGTTTCTTTTGCTGTGCAGAAGCTCTGGAGTTTAATTAGATCCCATTTGTCTATTTTGACTTTTATTGCCAATGCTTTTGGTGTTTTAGTCATAAAGTCCTTGCCTATGCCTATGTCCTGAATGGTTTTACCTAGGTTTTCTCCTAAGGTTTTTATGGTGTTAGGTCTTATGTTTAAGTCTTTAATCCAACTGGAGTTAATTTTAGTGTAAGGTGTCAGAAACGGGTCCAGTTTCTGCTTTCTGCACATGGCTGGCCAGTTTTCCCAACACCATTTATTAAACAGGGAATCCTTTCCCCATTGCTTGTTTTTGTCACGTTTATCAAAGATCAGATGGTTGTAGATGTGTGGTGTTGCCTCTGAGGCCACTGTTCTGTTCCTTTGGTCTATAACTCTGTTGTGGTACCAGTGCCATGCTGTTTTGATTACTGTAGCCTTGTAGTATAGTTTGAATTCAGGTAGTGTGATGCCTCCAGCTTTGTTCTTTTTACTTAGAATTGACTTCGCTATGTGGGCTCCCTTTTGGTTCTTTATGAAGTTTAAGGTGTTTTTTTCCAGTTCTGTGAAGAAGGTCATTGTTAGCTTGTTGGGGATAGCATTGAATCTATAAATTACTTTGGGCAGTATGGCCATTTTCACGATATTGATTCTTCCTAACCATGAGCATGGAATGTTTCTCCATCTGTTTATGTCCTCTCTTATTTCCTTGAGCAGTAGTTTGTAGTTCTCCTCGAAGAGGTCCTTTACATCCTTTGTTAGTTGTATTCCTAGGTATTTTATTCTCTTTGTAGCAGTTGTGAGTGAGAGTTGGCTCTTGATTTGGTTCTCTTTTATATTGGTGTATAGGAATGCTTGTGATTTCTGCACCTTGATTTTGTATCCTGAGACTTTGCTGAAGTTGCTTATCAGTTTCAGGAGATTTAGGGCTGAGATGATGGGTCTTCTAAATATATAATCATGTTGCCTGCAAATAGAGACAATTTGACTTCCTCTTTTCCTAATTGAATACTCTTTATTTCTTTTTCTTGCCTGATTGATCTAGCCAGAACTTCTAATACTATGATGAATAGGATTGGTGAGAGAGGGCATCCTTGTCTAGTGCCAGATTTCAAAGCGAATGCTTCGAGTTTTTGCCCATTCAGTATGATATTGGCTGTGGGTTTGTCACATGAATAGCTTTTATTATTTTGAGATACATTCCATTGATACCTAGTTTATTGAGAGTTTTTAGCATAAAAGCCTGTTGAATTTTGTTGAAGGCCTTCTCTGCATCTATTGAGATAATCATGTGGTTTTTGTCTTTGGTTCTGTTTATGTGGTGAATTACATTTACAGACTTGTGTATGTTGAACCAACATTGCATCCCTGGAATGAAGACTACTTGATCGTGATGGATAAACTTTTTGATGTGCTGTTGCAATAGGTTTGCCAGCATTTTATTGAAGATTTTTGCATCTATGTTCATCATGGATATTGGTCTGAAGTTTTCTTTTCTTGTTGAGTCTCTGCCGGGTTTTGGTATCAGGATGATGTTGGTCTCATAAAATGATCTGGGGCGGATTCCCTCTTTTTGGATTGTTTGGAATATTTTCAAAAGGAATGGTACCAGCTCCTCTTTGTGTGTCTAGTAGAATATAGTTGTGAACCCATCTGGACCTGGGCTTTTTTTGGTTGGTAAGCTATTAATTGCTGCCTCACCTTCAGCTGTTGTTATTAGTCTATTCAGGGTTTTGACTTCTTCCTCGTTTAAGCTTGGGAGGGTGTGAGTGTCCAGGAATTCATCCATTTCTTCCAGGTTTACTGGTTTATGTGCATAGAGTTGTTTGCTGTAATCTCTGATAGTGGTTTGTATTTGTGTGGAATCTGTGGTGATATCCCTTTGATCATTTTTTATTGTATCTAGTTGATTATTCTCTCTTTTCTTTTTTATTAATCTGGCTAGTGGTCTGTCTGTTTTGTTGATCTTTTCAAAAAACCAGCTCCTGGATTTATTGATTTTTTGAAGGGTTTTTTGTGTCTCTATCTCCTTCAGTTCTGCTCTGATCTTAGTTATTTCTTGTCTTCTGCTAGCCTTTGAGTTTTTTTGATCTTGCTCCTCTAGCTCTTTCAATTTTGATGATAGGGTGTCGATCTTTGATCTTTCCTTGCTTCTCATGTGGGCATTTATTGCTATAAATTTTCCTCTAGATGCCGCTTTAAGTGTGTCCCAGAGATTCTGGTACGTTGTGTCTTTTTTATCATTGATTTCAAAGAACATCTTTATTCTGCCTTCATTTCATTGTTTATCCAGTCAACATTCAAGAGCCAGTTGTTCAGTTTCCATGAAGTTGTGTCGTTCTTAATTTCTGAATTCTGAGTGCTAATTTGATTGCACTGTGGTCTGAGAGACTGTTATGATTTCCATTCTTTTGCATTTGCTGAGCAGTGATTTCCAATTACGTGGTCAATTTTTGAGTAGGTGTGATGTGGTGCTGAGAAGAATATATATTCTGTGGATCTGGGGTGGAGAGTTCTGCCAATGTCTATTAGGTTTGCTTGGTCCGGGTCTGAGTTCACGTCCTGGGTATTCTTGTTAATTTTCTGTCTTGTTGATCTGTCTAATATTGACAGTGGAGTGTTAAAGTCTCCCACTATTATTGTGTGGGAGTCTAAGTCTCTCTGTAGGTCATTAAGAACTTGCTTTATGCACCTGGGTGTTCCTGTATTGCGTGCATGTATATTTAGGATTGTTAGCTCTTCTTGATACATTGTTCCTTTTACCTTTATGTAATGCCCTTTTTCGTCTCTTTTGATCTTTGTTGGTTTAAAGTCTATTTTATCAGAGACTAGGATTGCAACTCCTGTTTTTTTTTTTTTTTGCTCTCCATTTGTCTGATAAATCTTCCTCCATCCCTTTATTTTGAGCCTATGTGTGTCCTTGCACATGAGATGGGTTTCCTGAATACAGTACACCAATGGGTCTTGACTTTTTATCCAACTTGTCAGTCTTTGTCTTTTGATTGGGGCATTTAGCCCATTTACATTTAAGGTTAATATTGTTATGTGTAAATTTGATCCTGCCATTTTGATGTGAGCTGGATGTTTTGCCTGTTAGTTGATTCATTTTTTTTCATAGTGTCAATGCTCTTTACCATTTGGTACGTTTTTGGAGTGGCCGGTACTGGTTGTTCCTATCTATGTTTAGTGCTTCTTTCAGGAGCTCTTGTAAAGCAGGCCTGGTGGTGATGAAATCTCTGAGCAATTGCTTGTTCATAAAGGATTTTATTTCTCCTTCACTTATGAAGCTTAGTTTGGCTGAATACGAAATTCTAGGTTGAAAGTTCTTTTCTTTAAGGATGCTGAATATTGGCCCCCACTCTCTTCTGGCTTGTAGGGTTTCTGCTGAAAGATCCACTGTGAGTCTGATGGGCTTCCCTTTGTGGGTAACCTGACCTTTCTCTCTTACTGTGCTTAGCATTTTTCCTTCATTTCAACCCCAGTGAATCTGATGATTATGTGACTTGGAGTTGTTCTTGTTGAGGAATATCTTTGTGGTGTTCTCTGTATTTCTTGGACTTGAATGGTGGCCTGCCTTGCTAGGTTGGGAAAGTTCTCCTGGATAATATCCTGAAGAGTGTTTTCCAGCTTGGATTCATTCTCTCCATCATATTCAGGTACACCTATCAAATGTAGATTAGGTCTTTTCACATAATCCCATATTTCTTGGAGGCTTTGTTCATTTATTTTTACTCTTTTTTTTCTAATCTTGCCTTCTCGTTTTATTTCATTGAGTTGATCTCAATCTCTGATATCCTTTCTTCTGCTTGGTCACTTTGGCTATTGAAACTTGTGTCTGCCTCACCAAGTTCTCGTGTTGTGTTTTTTAGCTCCATCAATTCATTTATATTCCCCTGTAAGCTGGTTATTCTTGTTAGCATTTCATCAAACCTTTTTTTCAATGTTCTTAGTTTCTTTGCATTGGATTAGAACATGATCTTTTAGCTCAGAGAAGTTTGTTATTACCCACCTTCTGAAGCCTGTGTCTGTCAATTCATCAGACTCATTCTCCATCCAGGCTTGTTCCTTTGCTGGGTGAGGAGTTGTGATTCCTTGGAGGAAGAGAGGCATTTTTGTTTTCCTTTTTGCACTGGTTTCTTCCCATATTTGTGGATTTATCTACCTGTGGTCTTTGTGGTTGGTGACTTTCAGATGGAGTCTCTGAGTGGATGTCCTTTTTGTGGCTGATGAAGTTATTTTTTCTGTTTCTTAGTTTTCCTTCTAACATTCAGGCCCCCCTGCTGTAGGACTGCTGTAGGTTCACTCCAGACCCTGCTTACCTGGAAATCACCTGCAGTGGCTGCAGAACAGTAAGGTTTGCTGCCAGTTTCTTCTTCTGTTATCTTTGTCCCAGAAGGATACCCACCAGATGTCAGCCTAAGCTCTCCTTTATGAGGTGTCCCTTTGGTTATATGGGCCTTGGGGAGCTGCTCGAGGAGACAGTCTGTCCCTTACAGGAGCTCAAGTGCTGAATTGTGAGCTCTGTTGTTCTGTTCAGAGCTGCTGGCAGGTACTTTTAAGTCTTTTGTAGCAGAAGTCATCACTGCCTTTTTTTCCCAGGTGCTCTGTCCCTGGAAGGTGGGGCTTTATTTCAAAGTTCCTGTCATTCCGATGCCTTTTTTCAGAGATGCCCAGCCCAGCGAGGAGGTAGCCTAGTCACAGTCTGCCAGCAGAGGCATTGCTGAGCTGCTATGAGCTCTCTCTAGATGCCGTGTGAGCGTCTTTGCCATTTTGTTTATAGGGGAATAGTTAGAACTGCCTCAGTAATGGCAGTCTGCCTCAATAATGGTGGACTGTCTCTTTAATGGTGGACTGCCTCAGTAATGGCAGACTGCCTCAGTAGTGGTGGACTGCCTCAGTAATGGCAGACTGCCTCAGTAGTGGTGGACTGCCTCAGTAATGGCAGACGCCATTCCCCCCACAGAGCTGGATCATCCCGGGTCCAGCTGTGCTTACTGTGAAATTCTCAATCCAGAGTGTTTCAGATTACTGGTCTTTGTGGGGTAGGACCAGCTGAGCCAGATCACCTGTTTTCCTGTTTCAGTCCCCTTTTTTCAGTTGAATGGGTGACTCTGTCTCCCAGGTGTTCCAGTCACCAGTTGAAATGGTGCCCAGATTTGTGTGAGTTTTTGTGCAGAGACCCACTGCGCCGGCTGAAACAGCTGTGCTGGAGACTCATGATGCTTTTCCACCTGGGAATCTCCTGGTCTGTGGGCGGTAAAAATTCGTTTGGATATGCGGTGATCACTTACCCTCTGCGTTTTCACTGGAAACTGCAATCCAGAGCTGTTCCTATTCAGCCATCTTGGATCCTCAACCCAAAATAGACTCTTAATAAATATTTTGTAGTTAAACAAACATCTGAATTACTTTGTTATGGAGCTGGAGACCATAATTCTAAGTGCAGTAACTCAGAAATACAAAACCAAACATCGTATGTTCCTACTCATAAGTGGGAGCTAAGCTATGAGGACTCAAAGGCGTAAGAATGATACAATGGTCTTTGGGCACTCGGGGGAAAGGGTGGGAGGGGATGAGGAATAGAAGATCACACATTGGGTAGAGTGTACACTGTTTGGGTGATGGGTGCACCAAAATCTCAGAAATCACCATTAAATAACTTACGTAACCAAACACCACCTATTTCCCAAAAACCTATTGAAATTTTAAAAAAGGATATATAATAAAATAAATTTACTTCATTGAGATTGAGTGTATAAATGATATATATAAAACATTTTAATTATATTGTTATCTGCACCAAACTCTAGATGCAAATAATATTTCATAATGTTCAAAAGTGTTTTTTATTAGAACAATGATTTGATGCTACACCAAAAATAGTAGTATCTCTAGAAACTTTATGGATTTTTAATGCATAATGATGCTTCAGATGCTCACATCCATAATTCTTACAGTATTTTCTTGAAATATGTCAATTTCTTTATCTTTTATAAATAAATCATGCAAAATTTAAGTTGTGAAAGAATGACATATTTTGAGAGAACTAAATATAAATGATTATATATACAGTAAGGCATAACCTTCCCTTGTGCCCACCAGCCAAATTGTTCAAATTCCTTTGATGCTGGAGTTAAGTAAGAAAGGCAGTGTAGGACCGAAATAAATGCAACTCTGAAATGCCAATCACAGAAGTGCCCATCAGCTTTGAGCCCTGCCTAGATTGAACGTTGGATATGCATGACAATGAGCTACGTGCCACTGTCATAGGATTTGTATCCATAATCAGAAAAATGTGAGGGCTAAATTTCAGGTGCACATTAAACCTACTGCAGGAAATAGATCATGATCTTTCAAAGCCATGAACAATCACTTAAAGTCCATTTCCTCTTCAGCCACCTGGAACATCAAATCAAGAAGCATCCTTGAAAGGCTCAGATTTTGAATTGCAAAGTGATACCCAAAACATCTAGCTATTATTCATAGAGCTGGGCAAGAAGAAATAAAACAAGTGGTGGATTTTTAAAAGAGAATTTTGGCTTGCATCTTTTATACATGAGGTGAGGGAAACTTAAGTTGAAAATTTTTTCCAGAAACCAAATCTTTTGTGACTACAGCTCTTTTACCAGTATAATAATGATGTCTCCTGCAGTTATCACTGGAAATAAGTAGAAGGGGAATGCTGGTCTCTAGAGCTCATGAAACTGCTAGGACTGATTGCCAGTCCATTTCCATGTAATAGTGTGCTGGCTTTCACAGGCACAGGGCCTGCTTCTGGTACTTATTTAATAATTTTCCCATACTACATTCCCTTAGATAATTTCTATAAGAATACAAGAGGCAGGATATAATTCAAAGGCTCAATAATTGGCTAGAGGCCTTGGAGTTTCATCAGTTTCTACTTCACATAGGAAAGAACAATATTGGCTATTATATTTTGAGTACCTGCAATGTACCAGTTTCTATTGCATGTATTATCTCATTCAGCCCTCTCTGTAGCACCCTATTATTTTTTTAAGTGGATGACAAGAAATGATACAAATCACCAATGGGCACAAACAAGTAAGTGGGAGAACGTGGATGAAAACCATGTCAAACAGTCCCCAAGGCTCATGCTCTTTCCACTGTGCTATATGATTTTTGACTGAAGTCTATTAAATGTCAATCTATTCTTCCTATCAATGTTAAGGTCAGTGCTCACTAGGAGGGAAGGTTGGACCACTGACTTCCAAAGAATGTTCCCTATTTTTTAATCCAAATTTACCTTCTCTGATAGTTTCCCTTCAGGGGCTCACAGCAGTTCCTGCTGACATTTCCAGCCAAGATAGTAGGATCTTTAGTCCTGCTGAGACTTCTTCCATTACTACTGATGGTCAGGAGCTAAAGTTGGTTCCCACTGGAGGCTATACCCTGGAGCTTTCTATAGGAGGAACTCTCTTTAGCAGTGATTGCTCTCAGAAGTGGTGGCTTTCACCTAAATTACCTTCCTGACACCCCTTGCCTTCTCTCCTATCAATGCAAACCATTGGCTTCAAATGCTTTTTCTGAGGCAAATCATCAGCATAGTCCAATATGGCCTCTACAGTCTCAAGCAGCTTTGGCACCCAATAGGTGACTATGAATAAAGCCACATAGTTCTTTGGAGGAAATTACTGTAATTCCTAAGCAAATTTCCACTCACTACCATAATTTTGGCTGCCCCCCTCAGCCCTACTTTAATTTGCTTGAAGCCAGGAACTACTCAGCTTTCTCTTAATTTCCTAGGTGGATTATTCTCAAGGAGACAGAAAAAGAAAACTACTTTCTCCGTTCTGGAAGTATCTGGATTCAGATTACATACAGATAAGACGATGCAAAATCTGAGACTCTCCCTTCGTGGACCACAGGAGCATCTAAACAAATCAAGATCCAGGTAGAATCCAATAATTTCCTTAGTAATTTTAAATAGTTACATGAGGGAGCTGTGTTGGAAGCAAATTCTCCAGCTTTCAATTAATCATCATCCACTACCTACCACTCCCCAGATAACACTGCATGGAGCAGAAGCAAACCTTCCCCACTGTACCCCACCAAACCAGTGATCTAACAGAAAATACTTCAACCATTAAAGGCCTCACTTTCATCTTAATCCATCCTCACCACTCATCTGTTTTTAAACTATTATATCTTAGAAGTTATTTTTAATGTGTTTAGAGAATATATTACCGGTTCAATAATTAGCTTCTTGGAGATAGGTGTCTGGTACTACATTTATTGAGCTATCTACATCTTTTAGCACAGTGACTTTCTAGGCAGTGGGCACTCTAAAAATATTTCTTGGTTAATTAAACCAGAGGCTGTGTGCTCTATAAAATAATATAATTTCTTATTGTGCTAGTTTTGCAAACATAGCATATGGTATGGTGCAGGCATATTAAAACCTGGGTGTATAGGCACACTGACACTTAAGATACTGAAGCATTTGCCTTATAGAAAGATGTATATAATCACCAATTTTTCAATCCACTGAAGTGCTTATTTAATGCTCCACTGAAATTTGATGTTCAAATCTTGAAATTTATTTAAAAAGTCAAACCACATTAGAGTCCCATCACTCAATGCAGTTTTCTGATTAATTAGTTACAGCACACAAATGAAGCAAGTTTGCAGTTAATGAACTACAAATAAATCTATCTGTAAATAATAATTACCATTAATAACCAGATTAGTTAGACTTCAGGTTTGTTCTCTTTGCATTTACATTAATTTGTTTCTTTTACCCTAATCAGTTAAGTTTCATCTAAAGATAATTGGAGAGATATGACTCTAGAATGACAGTATGAGGAGCTCAAAGCTGCTCCCATACAAAACAGCTTTAACTGGTGAAAATTATTTTTAAAAACTAGCACCTATTTAAAGTCTCTGTAAATTTCCTAAGGGCATATAGCAAATGAATACATATTTATTCAAGAAAATCTATACGGTCAACTAATATTAGACTAGTACACCAAAATACACAATGAGGAAAGGGAAGTTTCTTCAATAAATGGTGTAGGGTAGACTGGATATCCAGATGCAAAAATTTAAAAAGTATCAGATCCTTATATTATACTATATATAAAAATTAAACTAGATTAAAGACTTAAATATAAGATCTTAAGCCATAAAACTCCTAGAAAAAAACAAACAGGGAGAAGCACCTTGACACTGCCGTGGCAGTAATTTTTTGGATAGCATACCAAAAGCACAGACAACAAAGCAAAAATAAACAAATGGGACTACATCAAACTAAAAAGCTTCTGCACAGCAAAGGAAATAACGAACAAAATGACAAGACAGTCTCCAGAATGGGGGGAAAATATTTGCAAAACATATTGTTGTGGGACTTTTCCTTAGTTCAGTTAAAGGTAGGTGTATTATTAGTCAAGGTTCTCTAGAGGGGCAGAACTAATAGGATATAAATATATATATGGATGTTAATAAGTATTAACTCACACGATCACGAGATGCCACAATAGGCCATCTTTAAGCTGAGGATCAAGAAGAGCCAGTCTGAGTCCCAAAACTGAAGGACTTGGAGTCTGACGTTCCAGGGCAGGAAGCATCCAGCGCAGGAGAAAGATGTAGTGTGGGAGGGTAGGCCAGTCTAGCCTTATCACATTTTTCTGCCTGCTTTATATTCTAGCTGTGCTGACAGCTGATTAGATGGTGCCCACCCAGATTAAGGCTTTCCTAGCCCACTGACTCAAATGTTAATTTTTTTTGGCAACACCCTCACAGACGCACCCGGGATCAATACTTCGTATCTTTCATACAATCAAGTTGATACTAAGTATTAACCATAACAATGGAATTCTTGTTCATTCCACAGCCACAAAAATTTAGCCTCCTGGAAGGGTTAAAGGGTGAGTAAAGGAGAGTTTAGATGAGTGAAAAGGGGAACTAAGAATGAAGCAGGGATCCTTTGCAATGCCAGAGTCCCACAGCTTGAATCCCAGTTTTCACACAGGAAGAGGAGGTGCCAGCCTCCTCCCCACTGCGAATGAAGTGAACTTCTGTGGCTCCATCCCAGTGCACATTTCTCCCAGTGTGCAGGCTGGTTGGAATTTCTCTGGGGGCCCCCTTCCACCTTGCTGTCTCATTCCCTTCTCTTAAGAAGGACATCTAACTGCCCTTAGAGTAAGGTTAGGACCAAGACCGGTCTTAACTGCTTCCTGCTGACAGGGGGTGCTGTTTTGGAAAAATGGCAGTCAGAGCTCCCTCAGAGACCTATCAAAGGGTTCCTAGCAGAAAGGGCCATCTATCAGAGGCTCTGACTACGTGACAGTTTGGAATTCAATGGCCTAAAGTCAAGATCAGACAAATGGGGTTATTAGAAAACATGTATCAAAACAAAACAAGGGGAGGAGTAAGGACAGCTCAAAAATTCTTAGGTCTTTTATGAGTTTGCACAGGGAGAGGGAGGCCAAAAGACTGACTGGTTAAAAAAAAAAACTTTACCCTTTTGCTGACATGTTGGGCTTCTGGTTTCTATTCCTCTGAACCTGATCCTAAGCCAACCAGTTTAAGGTTTGGGGGATAAACTCTTTCCAGTTTAGAGGATGCATCTGAGGGGGGTGTCCTGTCATTAGAGAGACACAATTACCTCTCTGTGAAGAGAGAACCAAGGAGGAGAAACAAAAAAATAAGGTTTTTTGTTTTTGTTTTTTTCAAAGGAGTCACATTTGTTCAGGATGAATTTGAAAGGGTTACAGACTGAAGCTGAATGGCTACCCAACTAGAGAGAGAGGAGCAGGCATCCCTAGTTCCATTCTCTTCCTAGCAGGTACACAGGATAAGTGAGGGAGAGAGGGAAGAGCATCCTCTTTTCCTCTTCTGTCCTTATATCCCCAAGTCCTGGTGACCTCAGCTGGTGCCACTATGAGTACCAAAGCGGCTTGCACCCATGCAGCAGAGGGCTCTAGGGGTTGGAATTGTCTGCTCTTACCAACATATGCCCTATCTCCCCTTCTGTCAGTAGCCTTGGAGTTCCCTAGACCTCATTTATGCCGTGGATACTAATGTGGGCTTTATCCATGAAACAGGAAGGTTGGGCTTGGCTTAATCGGCAGGAATTCGCCATACTCACTTGTGCTGTGTCTTTTGACCTCTGTTGTCATCTGCCTTTGGATTCCTTAGATCCAGTTCTCTTTCCTAGGGCTTTGACCCAAAGCTTGGAATTAAGTTTAGAACAAAAATGTATCTTAGGGGCATTGAATGGACTCCTTATCATAAGCCAAATGCTAAGGTGAAGTTATGGAAATGAGACCTCCAACAAGGGTAAGAAAAGGATGTCTTGTGATACACCCAGATAAGTGGTGGCTACAGTTATGCTTGTAGGATTTGAGTGCATGGTGCTTGGCTTTGGTTAGCTTTCTTGGTCTTACTTTCCTAAAAAAGAAACCTCAGAGTGATAGGCATCCTATTTATTCCAATCACTTCGCAGAATTTGCAGGATAATTGCTCAGAACTAGAATACTGATCCAGATTTTTACACTACCCATTTTTCTTGTTTTTTTCTGAACTGCAGTCAGAGATTGCTGGTTGGTTCACAGGAACAAGCAGGATTTGTCTAAAATGTAGGCAAAAACTTAAAAACAACTAGTGAATTTAGAATTTAATGACAAATGTATGATAAGTTTTGGAACACAATTTCTTTCTCTCCAGTCCTCAGTTTTGTTAAAACAAATTGTGATAGGGCTGAGTGGTTTGCAAAATAGACTAGTTTTATACTTGTCCTGGTTATTTGCATAAAGTGCAGCAAGCACAATTATTTCTACATAAGCCTTTTAGATTGGCTTTGATGGAACTCTATTCTCCAAAGGATCTCAGTCAAGATTTTTAAAGCCCAGCCCAGCCATGGGTTTATCCTCAAATACCTGTGAGTTGGGTGATCCTGACATCTTAAGGTCCCAAGATCAAGTTGGAGTTCCTGGACCTGTTAGAAAGTGACATTCTTTACTGACCACAGGCTGGGAATCCTGTACAGGGAATTTGTAGATGTGGGTATGAGGCCAGTCTCCCCATGGGGCTTTTACCAGCTCTGCAAATTGAGACTGACCCCTTAAAGAGAAGCATGTCCTTCCAATTACAGACTTGGTAAAATAACCATTTTTCCAATTGTGTCCTGTTGCAAAAGAAAAATGGATTCTTATTCCACTGATGCAAACAACGATATTGCCATAAGAATACTCACAGATAGTTTCCAAATTGTATGGGAACCAGGCAGAGAAAAACAAACGTTCCAAATCTTGCTCACAGGAGTGTACTACCTTATTCAATTATTAAAGGCCATAAATAGTTCAAAATACATTTCCTTGGCTCTGAAACACAAAAGAAGGATCAGCAATATTCCTTGAGAAGTGAGTGATTTTGCCTGCTGTCATCTCCAGAGTAGTAGTTCAGAGATTTTGCCAGATGAAGAGACAAGTCAAAATAACAAGATGTAGAAGCTTCTTCCCCCAATTGAATTGATCTGGAACAAAGTGTGAGTAAATTCAATCCTAAAGGAACTCTCAAGGACGATGGAGATTTTGGTGATAAGCAATTAAAGAGGAGGCTGGTAACTCCATGAGAGCAACAAGCAAAACTATAAGTTCCCTGGATTACCAGAAAGAATGAGGTGAGGAGATTAACTCTAAGATGACTCCTCCTGTGGTCAGAGAAAACCTCAAAGCCCGACCCTGTCAGGACACCCAAATTTAATTAGATCAGAGTGGAGCAATGTATGCACTACCACATTATTTTTAAGAAATGGAGTAATCAGCCAGCAATCAATGAAGCCTAACAGCTGGATGTGATGCTACAGAGACATACAGTTTAGAAGACAGATAAGAAATAGAGACAAAGAGAGACCTGCCAAAACCAGTCATCCCAGGATGGCTATGCCCATGC